CAGTGACAATAATTGTGAATGTTCAGTAGAGCGCGACAAAGTCCCGAGCGCCTCGAAATAGGCATTCAAGGTGACATGGCTGCAAGACTAGACATTACTGGAGCCGAAATTCAGTCAAGGATAGTGGGAACGACTGCATGAGCACCATCCCACACGACAGCAGCCGGGTAACTAAAGATCAGCGTCTTCAGGTTGCATATTTATGTGCCCAACCAGTAATTTTCGCCTATATTAAATGTGAAAGAACTCCCCTACCCCTAACACTAGGTCAGAATAACACCAGGGATAGGTCAGAATGTCAGCTTCGAAGTGAGACTTAAAACCGAAAAAGTGAATTTTACGATTTTTGTCCCAGAAATTCAGGGCGTAAAGGGTTAAGGGAGATGAAAAAATATTTCGCACATGTCAGGAAAAATTTTTTATACCAATTTCTATCATTCGCGCTTAACAATCATTATAATTAAGTCAAAAATTTCCAGTTAGACCAAAAATTACCGATAAAAGGAAAAATATATTCTCAGCGTTTGTGTTGTCCGAGACAAATGTTTCTTTGCTCCAGGCTGGTGCCTGTCACAGCATATTCATCACAATTTTTTAGGTCATCAACGATGCAAATTTCATATTGTTTTCACGCTTGATAATCTAGACGCAACCTTAAACGAGCAGCGCAGAGCCGATTAGTATAACGGAATGAATGTTTAGGTACGTTAGAAACGAATTTAAGTTCGTCGTTGAATTTAAATTTTGTCCTTATACATATATGATGTCCCACCGAAAATTTATCACGTTATTTCTCCAAGTGAATGTTCCTGCCAATTTTATCCGTTTTTACTTTATATTCAAATCCTCAGCGAAAATAATTTGACACCTACAATAATTAGTGATGAATTATCAAATTTTATACTTTTTGGGCTTGCTGATTAGTGTTACGTTCATTTTCCACAATATGCGATGCGAAACATTAACAATATATTTCGCAAGATTTGGGTTTTGCGTCGAGTTCAATGACGTCTGATAACGATTTTTCAAACTTAATTCTGCCGCATCTCGTAGTGCTAAAAGATGGACACTTTTCTCCGAGACGAATCGTCAATATAATTTAGGTAAGTCAGTGGAGTGACTGCTCATCTCCAACCTAGTGTCTTGTTAAATAGTCAGATCTTTTTTGACTTTTGAAGAAAACTATCGAGCTCGTATCATTTTTGACTTCTTAGATTAAATTAATGGCAATTTTTTACCATAGAGTCAACTTTATTGTTCGCTGTTATGTTCGAATCCATGTCCCATGCCATTGCACAGTTGACCATGACCCAAAAATTTTGTTTCTTGAGCTTAATTCAGTTATCGTTATTCTTTTCTAAAGTGAATATATCGTTATCTACTGTTTAGTGATGTCATAACGTCCTGGCTGCATTCGGAATACATTGTAATCATTTATCGATATTAACTGCATATTTTGTAGTCATACTTTCTTTATTCCTTGATTATATACATTTTCATCCAAGTGCTTTAGTTCTAGATAATGGGTTAACTAACACGGTATCTTCAAGTAAACCTTCCAGCAATTTCGTGCAGCTATATTGCGGCAGTTTCCGGAACTGTTCGTTCTCACTTCATCCTTCCCTATTCATTTGCATGACTTATTTAATAATTTTCATCTGTGCTTGGAACGATAAATTCGCGCGAGTGTTCAAATGTTGTGTAGGCGTAACGTAGACAAAGGGCCGCTAAAACCACGCCAATTCACAGCACTCATCACACAAATTTAATTTGTGTGTTGACGCGCTTGATACAATACAGACAGCGGGCGGTCCTGGACGCCCTCCACGTTTGTCCCATTACTGTCCCGCTCCGTGATGGGCCGCCCCAGTCATGTGTTGATAAACTGTTGCTTATTGCAGGACAGAACTCTGTCAATACGTCACTGTCTTAACTCTGTTATTACGCTCAGTGGCACAGCTCTGCAAACATTACATGTTCAAGCGCAGTTGTAGGACTAGGTTCTAATTACTGAATAATTATAGATAATTCTTCAATAATTATTAATTATTTCCCAATTATTAATTGCTGAGGCATGTGAAGAATTTCTTTTCAGTCATTTTATTTTTCTCAATTAACTCATTAGATTTCAATACTTGAGGTAAGGGCTCCGTACAATGTATTTCTTTGTAGCTACTTGAACGTTTCCAGAGGATGACTTAATCTCATGTTTGTCAGGGAACGCCTGCATGATCGCCGCACTCTGGATTTCTGGAAACACTCGATCACGCACTCAAATTTCGATCAAGAAAGCATAGAAAAAGATTCGCGTCAAGAAAGCATCGCAAAAATACAGTTAGTGTAATTGCTAGTTCATTGGTCAGTGTTGAGTTATACACGCATGCCTGTATCTCCGATCAGTACGTGTTACTCGAATTTCGTGTCTCGCAATACACTTTCTCTGCAACGACACAGTTACCCCCACACCTCCCATTCATATTGCTGGTATCACCCATACCAGTCATATATATTGATTAGTAAACCTCAACCGGTCATACAGGCACATGTTTATGGGTAAATCCACATCTCTTATACATATTATTTGGCGCATCTATCCCTGTTGAATACATTGAGGGGTACATCAAAATCTGTCATACATGTTGATGAGTAAACCCACTCCGGCGAAAAAGCCATACTTATTTTATCTTAGACACATAGATGAAAACGAATTGCTCTTGTGGTAAGTACAAAAAACAAGACGTGAACGACAGGTTTTTCCGTTAAATTTTTTTATACTGTATTTCGTTTTGAATAATTAACTGCATTTTTGTGGGCTAAGAAAATTACAAGTTAAATATGAATTTCTATATAATTGTTCGTACCTTAAACAATTAGTGTCATTCAACTTATGTCATTCAGAAATTTGTAATTCAATTTGGGTTCTTCGTTTGACGTAAATGAATTTTTTCATATCAAAAGAATTTTGACATAAATGAATAATTGTTTATTTATTGCTTTAATTGATATTTTGAGAACAGATGAAGTTCAGGTGAAATTGACTAATTTAAAGAGCCGCCACGCGCCGCATTCCTGCCGCAGCCTCACCTCCAGGGACCGGGAATGTCGGCGGCGTCTGGAATGCTGCAGCCTGTAACGGCCGCTACTCGTCTGGAATGCTGCAGCCTGTAACGGCCGCTACTCGTCTGGTCTACGTATCCATGCTACGGGTGGCGTCATAAGGGATTTGACGTCACAAGTGAGTCATGCCTAGAATTTAGTGGGTCAGTATGACCCACAAATGGGGCAAGTGAGTCAAAAAAGTGCATCGATTTTCGGACGCGGTTGACTCATCAAAGTGGGTCATCCAGACCTGCCCATTTCTCTCAGTGCAAAACTGCGTCATTAGTTTTTGTTCTCTACTGGGATCCTTAAAAATCTATTTAACAGTAAAATATTGTTGCGGAAATAATCTTCCATTTGGTATGCATTAACTTGTAGCATTTTGTACATATAGTTGGCTTTGTGAACGTGTTCTGTTTGTTTCCGTTCCTCTATTTCATTATCTATCCAGTGGTAACTTTTGATATTGAATATAATTTCAGTGTATGATCGCAAACAGAGGAGCTGGGCTCAAAATTGACAAAAAAATCACATGAAAAACATGAGCAGGAAAAAATAAATTTCACCATAAATTGGCAGGAGGAAATGCTTTTTCGATGCAATGTGCAATAAAAGTGCATCAAAATATACAGAAAACTATGTTCGGTGGCTCATTGACTGGCCTCCAATAGAAATATGGTTCAGTTTATCCGGACTCCAATAGCAGCCTAATCTTCATTGTCTGAACTCTGTCTCGAATTGAAATGATAAATAAATGAAATATATTAGTATTTACTCGATGACGATTGAATACACTGAGGATGAAATCGTTGCAAAATTGATAACAATGTACTAAAAATCTTCGTAGAAACATGAAAATTCGGCTCTCTGAGCGAAATATTTTAATCTATACATGGGGAGCAGCCAAGGAGGGAGGGTTCTGGCATGTGGAGCAATTGAACGAAGACGCGTCACTTCTCTTCGGATGCAGCACGAATGTTTAATCAGAGAAATGTTTGATTGATTACAAAAATTAGACATGTTTCACAACACGCAACAAGGCTAAATCCATATGAAATTAAGTTACCGTCATTATTTCAAAGGCACAAATATGTGACCAAATTTAACTAAAAAATCAGGCACATAAAATGTGCTTGGCAGGTTAAAATGTCAGTTAAAGTGGGCCAAAAAAATGTGAGCGGTTAGACCAATAAAGTCAATGAACATTTCAGGAGAGTCAATCTCATCTCATTCTTCGTTGAGAAGTACCGGTGAGCAAAGAATTGCAGTAAATTTAAACGATGTTAATTATAAGATGAAAGAAAGTTCTTCTATGAAGAAAGTTTCTTCGGGGGAATGATTTTGGCAATATAATTCTGCATTCAATTGAATTTTACCTGAAACCAGTTATTTAAATATGTATATTACGATAGAATTCTCAGAACAACGAAATACAAAAAAGAAGGTCAAACCGAATAAAATTAAAAATCAATTTTAATAAATGCGTGAAACAATGGATTCTTTTTTATGAGGAATTTTCATTAAAATTCAAGGTTTCATCGAGGCGTGACAACTGTCAAATTATGATAATGATGACTGCTGGCCGCTACTCCATCATTCGCCGCTGCCTGTCACACACATTCCCTTCTTTAAGAGCCTTTTTTTCTGCGCTTGACTTATGGTTCATCAAAAAATCATTTTTTTGGTCTCGTGTCCAAGTGTAATACCTACCCACAAAAAATAAAGTCATGGCCAGCGGCGGTGTCTTCTCCTCTTTTCGCTGCTTCCTATTGGCTGGAAGAATGACCACGTGACTCAATTATCCTGGGACGAGCTTCTGCGGTTGGCTAGTGCTGGCTGCGGTTGCCCGGCGGTCAGGATATAAGCTGGGCATTTGTGAGCGACCGCAACAGTGGCAACTTTGCGGCCGCAGTTATGGCTGTGTCTGTGTGTGTGGCTTCCAGTGACTCTCAGCGGGCCAGGGTCCTGCAGAACATAGACTCTTCTGTAATTTCCAGTGCAGCTGGAAACCCGCTAAATCAATACTCTGCATTAGAGAATGTGGCTCACAGAACATTTTGCCATAATCATGCCTCCAAAAGTGAAAAACGCATCGTAAATGATTCTGATCAGATTAAAGTTAGTCGAAAGGACATTCAAGATTCAAATACACTCGCGAAAGAACTAAGTCAACCTGTTCGAAACTCGAGGCCGAAATCGCCTAACACACATGATGAAATTAAATATGAATTTTTTTGTAACAAATATTTTAGAGGAAGTCCGTCAGCATCGAGTCAACATTTTGTCAACGAGCTCCCACCTTTGTCTTTTGAATCTTCATTTCACTGTTACCCAAATTCAGACCAGTCACTAGACAGTCCAGGACTACCATCACTGTACACAGTGTACAGCCCAAGCATCAGATCTTCGCTTAGTCCGTGCTCTTCTAATTGCTCATCGTCTCCTCCTCCTCTAGGGCCGTCTTCTTGGAGTTTTGGGACTTCTGAAGAAATCCATCCTGCACTAACAAACCCAATCTATACCGCTGAAAATCAACTGCTGAAACCATACGTCAATAATCATAATTGTGTCGTTGAAACTGACACGAAAAAAATTGCTACGAGGTTGAAAATTTACAGCAATGGTCCATTTTGCTCCTCACTGTCTTCGTCTGTAGCGTACAAGAGGCAAGGAAACAAACTCACCAGCCGCGAGGTATTGAAGAAACGTCGTTTGGCCGCCAACGCCCGCGAAAAAAGGAGAATGACTGGCCTCAACGAAGCCTTTGACAGACTGAGGGAAGTGGTGCCGGCCCTCACTGGAGACCAGAAGCTGTCCAAGTTTGAGACTCTTCAGATGGCACAGACGTACATCAACGCTCTCTTGGATCTGCTGCACTAGAAGCGTTACGTCGTGGGGGCCTGCGTCCTGATTCTCAAAAAAATCTAGTCAAGTACGTAATGCCCATAGAGCGTAATGCTTAATAAAAAGTTTAAGGATCATATTGTAATGCTGTTTTATAAAATTTTTATGCTAATGCTAGTGAACCAACCATTATTTTTGATAATAACAATTGTTACACCATTTTTAAAATCCAGACACCAGATAATTTTTGCAATTCTTTCTGGTCTGCTTGTTTCTTCGCAAAACTCGAAGAATAATTTTATTTTTCTACTATGCATATATATGCTGTACGAGCTGCCATTCGATAGAAGCATACTTAGAGGTTATTCATTATTTGAAAGTCTCGTGAACTTTTAATTGTCAAAGCATTGGCGACTTTTCAGAAGTTCAAGCATTTCGAGGAAGTAATAATTGTTTATTATTCACATCAATAAAAATTATAAATTTGTAAATTTTGTAGCTCCCATTCAACTAAATTTGTGTGTTTCACCGCTAACGACGTAATGTGAACTTCTCTTTTATCACTATTTAAACTGATGGCACATTTAAAAGTTGGCTTCTCAAGCGGACACCAAACCGCGCCATGCCAACATAATCATTTTAATTGCAATAGAATCGTGATCGAAAGTTAGCAGCTTATGTTTATTTGTGTATATTTCACGTACTTGAAATGATTAGACTTTATACGTGATCCTTAGCATGTTTTTAGGCATGGATTCTTATGAAATTTTTCTTCTTTCAGAGCTACTTCAAAGTTCAGCTGTACCACGCTGCTTTTGTTGTTGGGGAAACTGGGATGGACTTAAATGAAAATATGTAATTACTATTCGGACTTAATGTCAACATGTACCTGAAGTATGGAAGTTCTGAAATACGGAAGCTGCATAATTGGAAGAGACAGTCAGAGAGAACTGCAAATAAATGTCTCAGATTTAAGAGTATCATGATAGTTTGGATAGTCAAATTATGTCTCAATCTGGCTTATAAGCTAATATAAGCTCAATTATGGAGTATATTTTTATCTTATATACATTTGTAAGGCCACAATGACCGTGCACCCTATAAGTATGTATTGTGACGGGTATGACTGTTATTTTTGTGAACATAGAAAAGACTTAACTGTGTCATAACATTAATGAGAATAACTGTTTAGCAATACAATTAGTAATTACCAAACATTAGATATAACCCTGTACCAAGTTCTGGTCAATGCTGTGGCATTACTTTATCATGAAAATGTTGGAAAGAAACGAGTTCTTTATTGCGCTTCTACTTTCTGCTGAAGCTAATGTCCTCAGTCATTAATTACAACAGGGGGAGAAGTTCATTTGCTCAAACGGGCATCTGTGGTCCGCATCGTCAATTTGTGCACTGCAGATATAGAAATAGAAATTACATCATCCCATTATTGAGTGCATCACAATCGTCACACGCGTCTAAGATCTTACCATTTCCATCGTGATGGTAACCCTTTGCTGCGGTTCACGTAGCCAATTTTTTTAATTGCATTATTTTTTATGTGCTGCAGCAAAAATATGTTTTCACGATGGTGATAATTTTCGAAGAAACTTTCCATGTTTCTTCATCTTCCATGTTCTGATAATAGATAATAATAAAATTTTGTCTTTCTTTTCATGGGAAATGCCTGATTGATTCATAACCCTATGCTAGGAAAGCTCATCATTACAATTAACTTTAATTAATCGAACCAAACGTTGTCAGTCCCGAATATAAAATTTACACGCAAATTAGTATTGTATTCATTCACCCGATATTTATCGTGATCATTTGTCAATACACATCTTTTACATATGATGATTTTTTCACAATTGTATAGTATTTATATTTGTTCTGGAAATACTGTTTGACGATAGTGAATGTGTTAAGTTGGCGTATGAAAACGTGTTTTAATAAATGGTCCACGATGTTGTAATTTTGTATTATTTCACTCAGTTCGGAAGTTTGCAAGAAATCCATATTTTGTTTGGTTCTTTGTCAGTACGCAAGAAGTAATCATTGAATAACCTCTCATTATTCTATATTTTAATTCGTCAAATCGCGGAGGTAAATATTCCTTCCACTCCTAACCAACAGACCACGCAACCGAGACAAACATTCTAAGAAGAGGGATTGTTTGCCAAGTTATATAATCATAAAAAATAAGGATGTTGTGGGAGAGGACAAAGTTGGTTTAAATTCAGATGGAAATACTCATTTAAGTACATTGTTAAATTCTGGGTCAGAATTTATATGAAGAGCATCGTTTATATACGCCTTATGTTGTGAAAATAATCATAGATTAATGAATTGAAAAGCTTATAAAAGATCTTTCAGAAAATTTTTATATAAACTGTTTATAATATGCTGCCCCTACGTATAACAAACGAACTGAATAGTTTCAAAGTCCACGAGCTGGATATTTTTTGAAAAGTTCTGTTGAAAACCACGTAATACCTCACAATTTGAAGCCATTGAATAAAATCATGATACATCTCATACACATTTTTAATGGCTGACTTATGGATTCTTCTTGTGGTCCTCCCACAGAGCTGGACACCTTAAGACGCCGAAGATGATTGCAGCGCTCGATTTATTGGAGAATAATTACCAGCCGTCCAGCGAGCAGGTCGAAGGGCTTGTACTTGACGCGGGGTCGGGTCTTGCTTTGCTTGATGGAGCTTCCTTCAGGGAAGGGCTGCGCTATGTAGCGTCATGATAAAAAAATTACCAGCCGTCAAGCGAGTAGGTCGAAGGGCTTTTTAAATTGATTTTAAAACAGCCAAACACTTCAAACAAACAAATTTTCCCATCATTGAACCTTGCTCTTATCTGAATTATTTGTAACTTTTCCCGCAATTTATTTGAAACTTATCGAGGCTTTGCAATAATAATATCTTTTAGTATTGTTGTTCACCAAGCAAGGAGGTATGAAACATTTATTATTCATCTCATTATATATCATTCGCTAATATATACTCAGGAAAATATACTCAAGAAAAACACATAATCCAAGCTAGGACGAAACACTAATATTTATATCATAGATAACTTTTATCTGTTAACGAAACACATGTAAATAGCACAGATTCTTTATGAGGTAAAAATAAACTTATACAAATTAACCTCGTATTTTTTATGATTTAACAAAACTCTTTGAAAAAAAAAATTAACCAGGTAATGAAACGGTAACAAGTATACCACACATATTTTCCAGCCAAATAACTTCCATGTATTTTTTTTAAATTTTAAAATTTGAAATGTGAAAATCAGAACAGAACTTTCAAATTCATCGATGACAAATTAATCATGTATTCAATCGACTAACTTTACAACCGATCCAAATAAATTTTCCTCGAGAGTCAAGTTGATTTTTTCTGTATGCCTCTGATGATAATCTACCATTCCGAGATTTTTTAAACATAATAATTTTAATTTGGATTTCTCCGAACAATAAATGAAGCACCCCAGAAATATGATCATGGCCACTTTTTTTAATAAATTTAGGAACATTTCCGGTTTTTAGATGAAATATATCGGTTAATTGGACCAATTCTGGTGTATAAACGTTTCTCAAAGTTCAATGTCAGAATTATGTCAACAAAAGAATAGGAAATGTATCAATGGTGATGATACATATTTTAGCTTCGCAAAACTCAGCCCACTCGACCGAATTATGATGCAGACTATTGTTACTATTATAGGATCATCGATGACAAATGTTGTATAATTGTGCAAAGGGTCTAGGGTTTGCGCAGGTGTTTTCATCCACCTAAACAATATTTGTGTTGGTGCAGTAATGGCTAGATGAGAAATGTGAACGCAGCTGTGAGAGGAAATTTGTAAAAATATAAATATATCAGTAATGTTCGAGATATAGTTGCAAATTTGAAGGAATTGTTCCATACGGAAATAGAAAAGCCATGTAGCGAATAAAATGCAACAATAAGCTGATTCATCACAATTTTTCATCATCGTGCGAATTTAATTCGTAGGAGGATGCAATTTCTTCGCAATGCTTTGCATCAAACAAGCTAAGAATATAATTAAACGAACGAAATGGAAAAAAGAATCGACTGGAATTGAATAAAAGATAGAAAAGAAAATCAAAACGTCCAGGTATGAGCATAATACCACTCCAAAGACTTGAGTGTAGCAGGCAGAATCATATTCAAAATCATGGAAAGAATCGTGGACAGAGTCTTATATACAGATGAAACTCACAATTTTGAACGTTCACCATTGACGAAGATATGATCGACACATCGAGTGAGGCGCATCAATAATGTGTTGATTACACAACTACAATGTGGTGATTATCAACGGTGGAGCTGACGTCACACGTCAGCGAACGCGTTCGTTGCGACCAGGGCAGAGCAATTCGCTGATCTAGAAATGCAGTTGTGAGCAATGCGCAACAGCGTACGTCGGTAAGACGTTACGCAACTTTTAGTATAGACTGCAGAGCACAAAGTGCATAATTAACGATAGGGAATTCTTTGTAAACACACTCATCATTTAGCTGTCCCAGTTCATGCCGAGCAGTGTGGTGTTCCAGTCTTCGATGGCGACTTAAAAGTTTTAGCTTCTATAACAGTCTTTCTGATTCACGAATTAAAGAATCCCCATATAATTTCAAGCAGAAGCCTAGTTTATAAACCGCGCTCAGTTCATATTCTCTCATGATTGTAAATAGATAAACCAGTCTCTTTTTGTTTATTTTAAGTTGATTCGTCCTTTATTTGTCAATTTAGGTTTTAAATCTGCGTGTGAATTTTGGATTATTAGTTAGTTGTACCTACGTTCCAGGATTGTTAAACTATCGTCGGAGTTGGACTCCGAAACGTTTTCATTAATAAGCATATTATTTTTTTATTCCTGGTGAAATTTAGGATTCAGGCAGTCACGCGATCTTGTATAGGATACTTGTATAGAACTTTGAACTTTGTTCACTTTGTATAGAACTGTTCGTGAACTTTGTTCACATGTATATGATCGAAATGTACAAAGGATTAGTCAGAATTTTATAATATTACAAGAAACGCAAACTCTGACCAATTGCACTATAAATCCCTATCACACATCAAAAAGTTAATGTTGGGTTTATATGTCAAATTTAGCATATAATTCGCAATAGAATGAACTTAACTACTAATTTTAATCTATCACCAATCACAACACCTAAGATGACCAGACTCACAAATTAGGCCACAGCGACGTGGTAAAAGATGATATGCAGGCTTCCATGAGCAGACATCACAAACCTTGGTCTGCCTAAAAAAACGTGTCATGAACCTATAAGCCTGGCAGGCAAAATTCGAACTACTACACCGTTTGTAGTGAATCCTGTGCTGCTTGTTCACTGGTAAAAGCTTAGGTAAAAAAATAATTTTGAATAATTAATTCAAAATGAATTAATTAAAAATAATTTGAAATAAATAATTTGTTGACGACAATGCGTTTGCAAACGCATTGTCGTCAACAATGTTGTAATCGCTAAATCCATTGCACTGTGTCTTACTTATATTTAGTCGTTGTTTTTTGCGCCTTATTTGTATTTTTTCTTATAAACAAATAACTATATAATTTTTGTACACCAGGAGAATAGTTCTTTGATAACAATTATCCTTTGGTATGAGTATAGTGCTTATATGTGGTTTATATAATACCCCGTCGGCTGACACGTCTAAAAGTTGCACTAAATGTTGATAAATTGCGTTTTGAGTTATCTATACGCGCTGAATAAATTAAAAAACTGAATGTAAAACTAATAATAATAAGAAACGCGAACGGGGCCGTTACACACAAATTAATTGCAAATCCACGAGGTGTACCATTATTATTTCAAGAAATGTATTAATTACATGGAAAAGGAACCTTAACAAACACAATGTTCAAATGCTGCCTTTGCAATCAAGCTGCTTGTAATCAAGGCTGGATTTCCGGTTGAAGGAATCTCTCTAAATGTTGTGACACTTGGTGCCTCAAAGTCTAAATGGAACGAGGAAAACCCTAAAGAGATTCAAATTTGTTAAGTGCCATTAAAAATGTAATGATTAAACTAATTTTTATGTTAATAATGTGGCAATATTTCCGAAAAAATCCGGCTATTACAAAACTAACGCTCGTCAAAAAATTCAATTTCTACCTATTATCATAGTAAAATATTATGATAGAGTAGATAAACCTGAGACCATAACACATTGATGCATCAAACTTACATGAAGCCCGAATTTCAATTCTAATATGACACAGGATTTATTATATAACGACCGAAGAATGCGATGGTCACGCCGGCGTTCCCTAATGGATAAAGCCTATGAGTTTGATTTAAATTAACCGTCATTACGGTGCCGTGCTTGGTAGTTAGGATACCGCGCTGGTGCCGCCTCTTACTCATCCATCATTCAGTTCTGGGTAACGAGATGAGAGTGCAGGCGAGGCGCGGGCGTGACTGGAACGGTACTCTACCGTTGTGGGATGTGGAGCCTGGGCAAGCATCAT